TCATTTCCTTGGGGTTTTGGCTGATGTCTTGGGTTGTTATAAATACCCCATTGCATTTACCTCTCCCACCCAACAATGAGAGTGTTTTTAACAAGAGTTTATGTTTGGTTTAAGTTTTGTTTAAAAAGCTTTTAAGCAAATTGAGAGTTTGTTTTGTGAAATCAATTTTACAAGAGCTTGAGGAGATCAACCATTGGTGTTTGAGGATCCAACTATTCTTCCTCTACCTCTTAATCTATTGAGAAGTTTTCTAAACTCTATTTCTAGCTTTATATCTATTTGTTTGATTATCATTTTGTTAAAGGTAGTTTTATATTGAGTTTAAGATTTGATCAATCTCTTTGTTACACACACCCATGTTGAGCTTTTAGTATTTACATACATAGTATATTAGGGTTGTGAGAGATAATAACATTGAGTTGTGCTTAATTGAGTTCTCGCCTTGTATTAGAGAATAAATCATTTGTTGTTACATTGTTAGTGTTATAAAGTTTTCGGTGAGTTAGAAAACCGAGTGTGAGGAGTGAACGTTGATCGGTGAGCGTTAAAAACCGACATTGTGAGTGATTGTGAACGTTGATCGGTGAGCGTTGAAAACTGACATTGTGAGGTGTAAACGTTATTCGGGTGAACGTAGAAAACCCGGTTGTGATAGTGGATTTCTCCCGGGAGTGGGGAGCGGAGACGTAGGACGGAAGGTCCGAACTCCGTGATCATATTGTGTGTTTGCATTGTTTATATTGTCCTATCACAATTGTATATTTAGTTTAGATTGTTTTCCCTTGTGTTAATTTATATATCCTTGCATATATTTCATCATATACCTCTTTGTTAGGATATATCTCTTTATTCATATTGTATATTCTTGCTCATATCATATTGTATACCTATCTTGCAAGAATAATTCTTTAGTAAGTTTTAATTGGCATAAAATGGGATTAGATTAGCATTAGACCCTTGTTTGTTCTCTAATCTCGTTTGCGGTTGTGTGTTCCTCCAGTTCCGTTGCGCACAACATTCACATCCTATCAGAACGCTTTGTCCGGTACCTTGGAATCTAGAACATGTATTTATGTAATTACACGCCCCCTTTGTGAGGTTCATATTCGAACCCACGATGCAATGTTCTTATAGGAAGCTTTCTTCTTCTTAACCTGGTTAGTAGATCCTAGTGTGGTTAACGAGTTGAACTTATGTTTTACAAAAAGATTGGGTCATAATTGGCCTAGTTTCTATAGTTCATTCCCTCTTTTTAACCAGGTTAATTAGGATTGTATCACTTTCTATCTAGATCAAAACCCTAACCTGGTTAAGGACTTAATTAGATTATGTCGGTCTTGCCAAACACATTCTTAGTAATTAATTACAAAAGAGATTTATTTCTACTGAAATAGTTGATGCCCTAGGAAAAGTTGAGTTATTAGATAATTATACTAATCTCTAAACTCTTCTAATCTACAGTACTATTCCAGGTATAGACAATTCTATTAATGAATCGTTTTCACTTCTGATGATAAAACATTTATGATTAAATGTATGTATACATATGATCAAATAATTAATCCATTAATGGGGTGAACTTGAATTGCAAAAGTCTAATAAAGTGAAGTGCGCAACGAACATTCATATACTATTTACTGGGCGGATGACCTTGGTGCCCGACATTGAATCTGATCAGCTATTAGTTTATAAATGTTAAAATGATTTTTAAAAGAAAGGCAGCGGACGTTTGGATTTGATTTTTTTTTTTTGAAAAGGCAAGTAGAGTAATCTAACCAGCTAAGTCCTCAACAACACTCTGTCTTAAAAACAAAGGGACAGAAACAGACTAAAAACAAGAGGACAAACAGTCAACCGACTTAGCTAGGAAATAAGCAACACCATTACCAGTGCGCCTTATTAAGAAACTTTAGAGCAGTCAGTAATAATCAGACCAGCGCGAACTTCATCTGCAATAGGAGCCAAGGAAGCAAAAGGAGAAGGAGAGTCCACCAAGGAGATAACCTTTAGAGAGTCAAATTTCACCACTGAAATCCTCCAGTTCATACGGCGAACAAACCGAATGCCTTCCAGGACAGCCAACAGCTCCGTATCCACAGATATAGGACCCCTGATCCCCATAGAGTAGTAACCAATCACATGTCCATGGTGATCCCGAATAACACTTCCCAAACCAATAATATCTTCTTCCAGAGGAACAATAACATCTGTGTTGAGCTTTAGCAAACCAGGAGCAGGGGATACCAAGCAGAAGGCCATTTGGAAGGGATGACAATGTCACGGGAGAGACCTCTAACTCTATCCCATTCCTCCATAAAACAGATAATCCGAGTCACCAAGATCGAGGCATCTCTAACACTACCACCATTATTCCTTCCCCCCATATAAACCACGTGGTTGTGAAAGCTAAAGCCAGAGAGTCCTCAGGGCAAACAGAGGTGAGATGGAAAAGGAAATCACCACAAGACGTGCCTCGAAAACCATTAATCACTTCCCAAAGATCTAAGAACTCCCACACCAAACGAGCAAAGGAGCAGACAGTGAAGATATGAAGGGCGGTCTCAAAGGTAGCAGAGCAAATGCGACAACTAGGGGCACATAGATCCCCCTACAAGATAAACCAGCTGAGGTGGGGAGAGCATCATAGAACAGTCGCCAAAGGAACACTCTAATTTTCGGTGGGATCTCCGCATGCCAGATCAAGGACCACTACTTCGCTACCTTAGAATTCGAGGTGGAAGTAGTATCAGACATATTATGGCGAAGAAGTTGGTATCCACTCTTGACTGTGTAGCACCCCTTCTCCTCATAATACCAAATGAGTCTGTCAGAGACAGGAGAAGGCGGCAGTGAGATAAATGAAATGTCCTCCTGATCTACCTGCTAAAAGGAGGTAGCAACCAGCTCATGATTCTAAGTACCCGAAGCAAAGATCAGCTCAGCCACCCTTTTGGAAGGGTCGATCGGAGAAGTGATTGGCCTGAAAGAAAAGGACATTGGGATCCATGGGTCAGCATTGATAGACACTTTGGCCATCACCTATCCTCCATCTTAGACCTCGAGCTAGGAGCTCTCTACCCCAGATACTGCTTCGCCATAAATAAGAGCTGCCAGGGCTGACACCAGCTAAAAGGAAATCTGAGTCCCTGAAATACTTTTCCTTCAAAACCCTACTAGCCAGAGAAGAAGGTACAATTCGTCAACGAGTTAAGTGATGGGCTAAGAAGCTTAACCCCTTCTTAATTTGCTAAACATAAAAAAATCTATTCAAGGGTTAAAGTGAATTAATCCTTCATAATTTGCCAAACGTTAAAAGTGCATAATGGTTAAGCTAACCCTTGGAAGGATTAAAATGATTTAACCTCTCAAAATGAGCGGTTTACTAATATTCCTTTTTAGAAGGATTAAGAGTTAACTCCTCTATTTATAAAAAAAATAGTCAAAATCCTTGTTATTCCTAAACACTAAAACTAATAACAAGAACTTAAATAAAACTTGTTTAACTGGTTAATAATTTAGTCATTTGAGTTATCGAATGGGATAACTACATTAATCATTCTACTTAATCTCTTTTCTTTAATCCTTGCCAAACGAAAGTGGGTGCTTAATATTAGGATGATATTTGGATTGTTTTAAAATAAATTCTAAAGCAATTATCTTACTTTACGTTATTAATTTTAGGCAGTCAGCAAAAGTTAGCAAGACTAATATCTACCGAGATTGTTTAGTCCTTCATTTATATATTAGAAATGGATTAAAATCCACTTAAACTTACCAAATATTGTGAATTATAAACATGGATTATAATCCATTTATAACTCAAATGAATTATAATGCAAAGCTGCCTAACTTGCTCATAAGTTGGATTGGTGGGGTTTCAAAACATTAGGAAAACAAATATTAAGCTTGAAAAAAAATAAAGGTGAAATTTAAATTAAAAGGTTGAATTATCTAATTTTTTTATTAGAATACATCTTCCAATAGTTAATCTGTTTGTTCCACAATGAGTAAATAGTCAAGACGCTGACTATAAGAATAATTGTTAGTGTAAAAAATTACACACTACAACAGAAAAGCTAATCCGCGAGGAACAAGTTTATCGTTGAAAGTTGAGATTTCCTCGTCGTAGTGTGTTGGCGAGGAAAAAACTTTGGTCACCATTTCCTCACGGTAAGGTGGTCAAGAAAAGTTTCTGCGAGGAATATTATAATTTCTCGTGAAATCCTTTTTGCGATGAATATATGGTGGTCAAGAAAAGTTTCTGCGAGGAATATTATAATTTCTCGTGAAATCCTTTTTGCGATGAATATATTCTTTTCTCGTTGTTACTCTTTAGCCGAATATTATAATTTCTCGTGAAATCCTTTTTGCGATGAATATATTCTTTTCTCGTTGTTACTCTTTAGCTTCGATATTTTTCCTCACCTACTCTCATACATTTTTCATCGCTAAACTACAGTTTCCTCGCCAATGATACGTGAATAACATTTAATTTATATATAATAAAGTTATAAAAAAACTATTTTCGTCGTTGTAAGTATCTTTCAGCGAGGAAACTGTTCCTCACCAAAGGTAAATCTTTAACGAGGAAATTGATTTTCTTCATTATATGTATCTTTTTCTAGTGAAAACAGTTCCTCAGTAAAGGGACTCAAAGATGAGGAAATTTAAATTTATCGTTATAGGTTGTACCCCATATTCCTCGCCAAATAAATTCAATTACGAGGAAATTTATATTTGTCGATATAGGTTATATGGTCTATAGCGAGGAAATTACTTTTGCTGTTATAGGTTGTATCACTATAGCGAGAAAATATGTTTTTGTCAACGTAAGCAGTATACTCTATAACGAGGAAATATTCTTTTGACGATGTAAGCAGTATACTTATAATGAGGAAATTTTATTTCATCAATAATAATGTTATTACGAGAAAAACGCTCAAAATATAAATAATTATCATCAATTGTCACCAGTACATCAAAACAATTAAAATAAATAAAGCAAGCAAGTTTCTACCATAAGTAATAATGCTAGTCTAAAGCAATAACAAATATAACACAATTAAACATTTCTCCAAGTTTAAATTCACTAAGAATACTAAACTGATGGATGTTGCCTGAAAAAATTAGCCATAAACTCCTCAAACTTGTTGGCTTGATCCTTCAATCTTTGGATTACCTCGTTTTGCGCATCGATCTTTTGTTATTGAGTTCATACAAGTTGTTGGGTCTCTTGAAGCTGTTCTTGCAACTCTGTATTCTTTTCAGACATTTCACTCATCGAAGAACGAGAACCTTAATGGTGGTGGCCTAGGGCCAAAACCACAGCCCTTAATGTAGCCTGATTTGACTTTGAGAACTTTTGTACAAATTTCCTCATCTGTCATTATTCGAGTTCCATCAAGTTGAGTGGTATCTGCTCGCATCTTTATCATTTGATCCTATAAGTAAAAAAATATATTCAGTTCAATCATATGCAACTTCTCAATTACAACCTAATCAATATAATCTTCTTTAAAACAGTAATATCAGTTTCACCTATATTCTTAAAATATTATAAAAGCATGCATCATTGACACGTTACTTATTCTTAAAATATTATAAAAGCATGCATCATTGACACGTTACTTACCCATTTTTCCTTTGCTCCCAAGTCACATCCTTTTTTTGTGCTTCTATACTCTGTTTCAAAACGATCAATTGCACATTGTATCTCTCTAGTCTGTGTTGTCTATTGCATTCAAACATATTTTCTTTTTTAGCATATATATATGTACACAAATAAGTTACAAATTTATAAGCAAAACTAAAAAGTGTCTTACATTTTACTCTTGGTGTGACATAAATGATTTTGACACAACTTTGCGGTGATATGTCAACTTTGACCTATTAAGAACATTCTACTCTGAGCGAATCTAAAATTTTTAAGACATACAGTTAGAAAGAAGTAAATGAAAAAAGGAAAAATGTAATGCGTGGAGAAAAATACTCAGCCAAGTATAACTTCTCCTAGTTATAAATTAATACCTTATCAAAAAACATAACTCTATTCGATGATATACTTAAACTCTACTTTAATAAAGATGACATTATACTTGTCTTTTGGATGCCGGTGTGAGTTAAATACATGAACTTAGCTGAACATAGATTGTTTCCAACTCAATCACTACTGAAACTAACATAATTCTCAATGAACTTAGCTGAAATTTTAATATTTATCTTACCTTATAAGCAAATATTTAAAAATCATTGCATTGGTGTAATTTTGTGACTCCTAAATTATATATTGTCTGCCTAGTATCAAACTCACACTCCCTAAAGGACCTCCATCAACAAATTCTAGATTTACCACTTCTCCAACTAATTTACAAATAATCTTGAAAAATAATAAAGCTTAAAAACAAAAAAGGAACGTGTTGCATAAAATATACTAAACCTTGCAAGAACTCAATTGAATATCTTACCGAAGCACAATCATTTTGCATTTGGACTTTAAATAACTTATGCTTACAAACTGTACGCATTATATATCTGTTTGGTTTTTAAATTAGAGCACAAGTAAGCATAGAATAACTTTGAAGAAAATTTTAACTCCAACATGAGATGAAAGCAAGAAAAGAAGTCTAAAGAGAGTAAGAAATTACATGATCCAATGACCACGAAGACGAAGAAACCAAGCACAATAGGTCCTACAGGATAGTCAGCTCCTTTCTTCACAGTTGTCTCGGGAACAGATCCCCTCTTCGTGATGTTCTTCTGGAACTTCGCAATTTTCTTGTTCGCAAGGCGCCTTGATGTTGTCTATCAAATTCATCATAAGGACCACAAATCAAGTTTTTAGACATTAAAAGGAGGATGAAACTTGCCACAGAAACCATGATGTTGTCTGACAAATTCATCATAAGAACCACAAATCAAGCAAAAACGAAAATGATATTTGCCATCGAAAAAATTACAGCATAATTAACTAGTAGGTAAATAGTAAAGAAAGCAAATAGCATTTGAAGTAACAGAATAGATTTTCCTAATTGCAAGGATTAAGCACCACAAACAAGCTCATCAAGAAAGTCCTGAATTTATATCACTATGACAAAGTCACTTTCAGTTTCATGATAATTTCGCTTGAGTACGTTTTTATGGGAAGTCAAATAAGTATCAAGTCAGTATGTAGATTATGTTTTCTGCTTTTGCATTACCACTATCACATACACTTGCAATCAAACAAACATGAAGTGCATAAAATATCAGTTTCACAATTATGTTTACAATTTCATGCAAACAAATGCCCCAAATACCCCTAAGGTGACGAGTTATATAAAACTTGTGAATGAGATGACTAAATATTCATAATACTAAACCAGAACACTATTTATTTATTGTGGGGGATGGTGGCAGTGGCAGCAGCTCGGCCCCTGTCGTTCATGCACAAACAATTATCTAAGCTAGCCCTTGGAACCACTTCCTAGTCCGAGTTCAAGTAGCGTACTGAACAAGGCTGGATTCAGTATTGCAAGTGTAGCAAACAAGTTCAGAAAGTTTTTCATTAATTTTGATTATTCCAGACAGTTTCATGGGCTGGAATGATGTAACATTCACATATTGAGTAGTTTGAAGGAAAAGTGTATTATTCATTCTAAATATTTTACTTTTCTAGCCATTGTAAAACACTACCAGGTTAACATGAAGCTTCATCAATAACAAATAAACAAGCTTTTTGCAGATGCCTTAATCAGAGTTTTAGTTAAAACTAACTTCATGCAAAATAAGTCTCCTAAAAATATCCTATATAAACTAGTATAAATAATTGTAAAATCAAAAGCATAATTTGCAAAATAAGTCTCCTAAAAATATCCTATATAAACTAGTATAAATAATTGTAAAATCAAAAGCATAATTATGAAGTGCCAAGACATAATCTTACCCTATATAAACTAGTATAAATAATTGTAAAATCAAAAGCATAATTATGAAGTGCCAAGACATAATCTTACCACTCGAAGAAGTGTCATTCTTTCCCTTTCTCGGGCATTCTTAATGGCATACAAGAAAATTACAAGAGGCCTTGCTTTTTTATATAAAGGCATAATCCTGTAGGCATCGAAAATTGCCTATAGGTCTCCACGAACGGTTCAGTGTTAAAGAGCGACGATGAACGTCACTATCCGATCCACAGGAGTTCTATTGACGTCGATGAACGATTGAAGTGAATCGACGAACTACGTGAGCTGATAGGATTTCGGGACAACGAAGACCCGGGCCAATCGGGAACCCGACGATGTTCACAAAAAGGACAATGACCTTCACGTCTTGATCACTCTACAGATAATCCAACCATCGGAGCGGATCGAACTCTTCGTCAAGCTTCCAACGCACTTGGAATCACTCAAATCCGAGTTCGGACGAAGAATTTATGGCGAAAACAATCAAACATACGCAACGGAGCGTCTCAGGCTGAACTGGGACACCCGGGGTGTCTCGGGAAAGTCGGAACACCCCAGGGGTGTCTAGGAAAAGCCTAGACACCCCAGGGGTGTCTTGGCCAAGCCGAGACACCCCAGGGGTGTCTCGGCCTTG